TTATTCTTAAAAGACTAACCAATCTGGCTATAAAAATATTTACAGCCATTAAGTGGGAACATTTGCAAACACACATGTATACAAATATAAGAGTACAGTACAAGTAATAGGTCCCCATTGGCTCAATGAGATTTGCCAGTTAGTATTCCAGTAAAGGCATGATTTAGGGGCAACAGTCTGGTAGCAAGAGTTTGACAGCTGGTACATGAATGCCAGTTTCATGTGGGATCAGTAAGGATAATTTAGCTATGGTATGATGGAGATGTCAAAGAATATAAATTATAAATATAAACTATGCAGACTGTGACCCATTTTTCAAGAGTAGTTAGAAATAATTATTGTGTTGTCTCTTGATGATACTATTACTATTATTAGATTTAATCTCTCTTCGTTAAAGTAATGTTAGAAAGTATTATTTCAAATAAATAATAGTAGAAGCTTAGAACCAACTTCCAATGGAAGTAATGGGTCAGACATCAGTAACTGAGCTTGGGATAAACATAACAAAAAGTTTAAAAAAAAGTAATAAAATAGTAATTCAAAAAACTCCAAAGGACAGATTCGATTGACCAATTGGTCTTTTTTTGCTGTCAGTTTTCTATGTTTCTATGTTTCTTTCCACCAATCTGAACATAGCTTACATGTTTATATTGACAACGGAGGCATATTGCACTGGCCAATGTTAGCTAGAAAGCTTCCATAACTGAAGGTGGACTTGAACCAGACTGTCCACACTTCTAACCTATGCTGTCATGTATTATTACTACAGGTAGTCCTCAATTTACAACCAATCACTTAGTGACCAATCAAAGTTACAAAAAAAGGCATTTATGGCCCAGATTTGAAGTTCCAACTATCGGGCCGCCTCTGCAACCACAAAACCAAACTTCAGTCATTTGGCAACACGGTTGCATTTACAGCTGTTTTTAGCATCCCACAGTTACATGACCACATTTTATTATGGCTTTGCCAAATACCAGAATTTCCAGTTTTTGGCAAACCACATCCATGGTAAATCATTGGTTTGTTTAACAAATATGATGTTTGCTTAACAATTGCTGCAAAATATCATAAAATCAGTCACATGACTGACTCATTTTATGATCATAAAACAATTCATTTTATGGCAGGCTCCTTTACTGTCATATACCAAAGCCCACCTGTTCTTCATAGCTTTGGATTTTTGCATGACATACAATACATGGTCTCTCGTGTTTGCTCCAATAATAAGCATGTTTATAAAAATGATTGTTCTTCCCATTCTATATTTTCATTAACATCTATAATACCTTATATCATTAAAAATATTTCCATTAAAAAAACAAAAGATACCAATCCCAAACAGAAAAGCAGCACCACCACTGCATGGGAGAAATATTTTAATAATTCCAATTTACTAGGTAAGCATGACTCTACTTTTTCTAGAATATAATACATATTGATGGTATTGTAAAGTACCAAGTAAAATACTCTTAAAATCCCATATTCTGTATGAACGAAAATAATCAAAACTGAAACAGTACTATCCAGAATATGTTAAATCAAGGGTGTCAAACTCGATTTCATTGAGGGCCGCATTAGGGTTGTTTTTGACCTTGGGGGGGTGGGTGTGAGTGTGGCCAGCTCAATGTCACTCGTGTCTGGAGTGCCTGTGGTGGACTAAGCGCTCTGCCAGTGAAAACGGGCTCCCGACCTCCATTTTCAGCTGTGACAGCCTCCTACAACCCTCTGCCAGCAAAAACGGAGTTCTGTTTTCACTGGCAGAGGCACCACGGGCCAGTCCTTCACTGTTTCCAGGGTCCGTGGCCCTGTGGGCCAGATCTAAGCACCCTGTGGACTGGATCCAACCCCCAGGCCTTGGGTTTGACACCCCTATGTTAAATCGTAATTCTCCTCTATGTATTTGATTCTCACTAACCTGAAACAGCATGAAATCACAATAGTACTTTATTAGGGGTGTGCATACTTCGAAAAATGTCCAGAGAAGTATTTCAGGCTTCATGCAAGCTCATCCCCTATTGTCTACTCATCACAATATATGCATCATTTTTCAGACTTATTTGAAAGGCCAACAGAAACACCACTGTTTTAATGATTCCCGTTATTACAGCAGCATATTTTCAATGTGATATTTAAAAATAGTGACCTTTTTTTGGTCAGGCTTTCATAGCTGTTTTAATTAATAGCGGGAAGTGCTCTGCTCACACTTGTACTTCTGATTCACTTTTAAAGTATGCATTGCTCTGTAAATTACTTTCATTAAATTAAAAAAAAAATCTCGCCAAAAACTATGTTCCATCAGGTCTTTCAATTTCATATCACAGAATACAGCATGTCTAGTAATACAGTAAGCAAAAAGATAATAGCCAATCTCTCTATTTTTGCAATAGCAAGTCATCTATTAGAATTCACATTTTTTATTATGCTGGGTACATTTAAGAGACAATCCAAAAGTGTTTTTTTTAAAGGCAACTGGACTTTGTTTTTTCCTTGGAGACATTTTGCTTCTCATCCAAGAAGCTTCTCCCTGAACAAGAGGCATGAGTTTTCAAACTGGTACTATGACATATTGTCCAAATTTGGACTTCCTTCCTCTTGAAAAAAAGCATTTTTGTTTTAAAAAGCATAGGCATTTTCAGCTTCCAAGAATGTGGGTTTCTATCCAGTTGTGTGGGAGATTAGGTTGAAACCCAGGCAGGATTATTAGAAGATAAAGAGATGAATACTGTGGGATATAAAGTCCTATGAGATCAGCATAGAACAGAACCCGTTCTGAACAGAAGAATATTTTACAGTGGCTGCTGGAAATGGGAAATTGGAATAAAAACTTAATTCATGATGACATTAATAGGAATTCTTTAATTTTGTCCTTCTACTTCTTGAAAATATGTATGCATACAAGTATGCATACATTTGGTGGGGGAGCTTCATAGAGCTATTCTAGAGATATTGGAGCCCTTTTCTAATCTAGTCTTCTGGGAGAACACATTGCTCACAGGCTACTAAGTTGGGGCATCAGATTTTTGCAGTGTTACCTCTCTGTACAAGGAAAGTTCAAAAACAGCTCCATGCCTAAAACTGCTTTCTAATTAATCATCTCCAATACAACATATATTTGGAATCATTCATGGTTCACTAGAGACCAACTCTTCTAGAGGTAGATGAAAACCAGAATGGTACAACTTGCTGCGGCCAATTTGCCTCGGACAGCAAATTCGCCCAGCCAATTCACGTGGCCAACTTGCCCCAGACAACTCACCAAGGGACAACTCATCATGCTCAACTCACTACAGGACAATTCAACAATTCAATTGTCATTCACATTTCATTTTCTCTCCTTTTGCATCCTTTAATGATTCTGTTCCAGCATTTCTTGTCCCGTGGAGAGTGGTCCTGCAATAAGTTGGCCATGGCAAGTTGGCCACAGTGAGTTGTTGTAGACCCAATGAAAACAGTACAATGGCTAGAGATAGTCAGCAACAAAAGTTGAAATATGGGTGGCCAGAAGTTGATGAAGAAGACAGGATTCACTAACAAATATGTCCCCGACTCCCAACGACACTAGGTGATTTACAACTGTATTTATTTCTATTTTAAAATGTTTTTAACAATTCTAACTACAACTGGCACCTGCTTACTGAGCAGGAACAGCTTCCAGAGGACTTCCAATTGTACACTATATTTGAATGTGGAAGTGCAATCCCAGATAAGGATGGGAATTTGGAATATCCCCAGATCTGGTGGTGCCAACCACCCCTACCACTATGACTATGTATTCAGGATTTCCGTCAGAACCAATGTGAACCTTTATAGTGTGGTTTGAAATATGCTGCTTTTTAAGGTGGATCACTGCATAGCAGATTTGTTTATCACTTGTTTAACTTATCGGTTACTTTAGGTAAGGAATATGAATACAAATAACTTCATAATGGAAAGCACATGAAGTGTGCCAGGACCCTATATCATATATCAATAGTGCTAAAAATGGAAAGACTTCTGAACATTTCAGAAAAAAACAGTGCCTGATTTATTTTTCTTCTGAAATTTCTTGTTGGATGAGCAAGCATACACACACACACAATACACAACACACAAACAGAAACAAACACAGTTGATCTTGAAAATGAGGTACCCTTAATGGGTACCTGTTTCCAAAATCTTTGCCATTTTTAAACCTATCATTAAAATGGCTTTTAAATTTTCACAACTTTTGGCAGCTACTGATTCAAAACATGCTGAAAGATGGCTGGTAGCCATACTGTACTGAAACATACTGTATATGAAACAGACATCCGAGTCTTAATTACTCTTGGTAAAAGGAGATTATTAGCTGATCGTCGATAGATCTATGGATCATTTCACTAATGAAATAGTAAGATAATTTGTAACAAAGCATGAAGTTCTGGACTAGAATACTATTATATACTTAATACTAGTTTAATCTATATATGCATTACATTAATCCATGCTTCCTACTTATGCCTCTAGTGATAACTCAAGCTATAGAAATTACACCATTTATGGGCAAAGTGGTTACCTTGTCTATTTCAAACCCTCAAAATATACATTGGGTGAGTCTGAAAAAGATGTAGGTGTGTCTTTATGTTGAATGAACCTTCCACACTTTATTTAATCCTTCTGTCAACTAAATACTGATTCATACTTTGTACACAATGGTTGTAATGAAACTGATGATATACATCTTAGCAGCTGAGTAGTCCAAACTCATGCTTTAAAAGAAGTCTGTTGCTTATCCTTGAAATGAGTAATTAAAGCTTGTTCTTTAACTCTCTCGAACAAACTTCTGCTTGAAGTTTTTCCAGTAAGTGCACAATGGGTTCAGTATAAGGGAGAAAAAAAAGAGGATCTTGCTAGCAGAAAATAAAAATGAAGTGGCATCATTGATGGCATCACATAAGCCCATTCTTACAGCCAAGAAAAGGTTACTGTTTATTGTGGAGATACCCTTATACTTACCTGTGCCAACATTTATAGGTAACTGGCTGACTACAGGCTAACACTTTTCTTAACATTTTGTTTGTGAACAAACCAACACAAGGTTAATGAGAATAAGGCATTCTAAACCACTCGGATTCCTTTTTCTGACAGAATAACCAATTTAGCTCACAATGGGAGTGCACTGAACAGTGTATCTTTACTTGAACAAATCTGAACATTTGAAAAAGTCACCAGTGAGACTCTACTATGGAAGATAACAAATGTGAGTGAGAATAAGTTACCATTAGATGGATATAGAGCAGCGATGAAATGCACTTACCTTCGCTACCGGTTCGGAAATGTGAGCGCGCCTCTTCTGCATATGCGCAGAGGGTCAAAAATGGGACGTAATGATGTCCTGGTGGGTGGGCGGAGCCTCCTGCCGCCGGCCCTACCAGTTCATGCGAGCTGGATAGATCTGGCCAGATTTCACCGCTGATACAGAATTTGTTAAACAATTGTAACCAACAAGTCCGCAGCTCCACAATGACCTAGGAGAAAATGTTGAAGGGCGTACTGCTAGGCTCCAATCTAAACTATGGACTGTTCAGCATGGAGAATTTATAAATGGCACGATAAGAAATTAGAAAATATAATTATTACAGTTTTTATTCATTTATCACATTTCAAAGGCTTCCCAACTCACTGAGTGACTCTGGATAACAGCATAAAACAGCACGACCAAACAGAAAATGAAGATGATAATTCCAGTATATTTGCAGATCAGACAAAGATAGAGTTGACAGAAGAAGTTTGAAGAACATCAATATTTAGCAAGATATGGACAAGTTGTAATATGAACATTAATCAAGATTAATTTAGGGCAGAACAGAACATCATCATATGCATAAAAAATCTGGTATTATTTGAATTTAGTGAACAGTATCATACAGGTACAGAAAACAAATAAAAACAGTCCTAGGCTGTATCAGCAGAAAGACTAACTCTTAATTCTTCTATATACTGTATTAGTCAGATAACACCATCCAGTTCTTACACCATTTTAAGAAAAATATTAATAAACTGAAAATATTCAGTGAAAAAAAGCCAAGATTATAAAGGGAAGAAACCTGACAAGGAATGGTTGGGAGATTGAATATGTTTAGACTATAAAGAGAAGACTACACTGAGACAGAATAGCTGTCATCAGGTATGTAAAGGAGACAAGGAATAATTGTTCAAAGTTTTTACAGAAGGCAGGGCAAGAAATAAGATTGAATTGCGAAGAATAGAGTTTACTTGTACATTTTGAATAGTAATTAATGAGAGAACAGGTGGGAGATTACTGGATTACTTAATTGGAATTATTTAAACAGAAGCTGGAGAACCTGTAATGAGAATTCCTGCACTGAGGAGCAGTTAGATTAAATAACTATAAGCCTTCCATGTCTTACATTCTATGAGTCACAAACTTCACAAAAATTCCTACTTGTTTAGTGGTCAGTTGTCATAGTTTTACTACCCATATTTCCCCCAAAATAAGACCTGATCTTATATTTTTTTGCAGCAAGAAAGATATCAGGTCTTATTTTCCACTGACTCACGTCACGGTGGTGGCATCAACAACCCCATCCATAAGGAGCCCACTGCCAGCCCATTTCTTCTGCAGCTGCTTGCTGCCACTTGTGTATGTCATTCCTGGCCTCTGGCAAGTGGCGCAGCAGTGGACCAGCAAGGCAAGGCAGGTGTCAGGTGTGCAAGGCCTGGCTGCAATTATCTAAAGGTAAGTACAAGTAGGGCTGCTCCACTCCCCCATCCCTACCCTACCTTGATTTTTACCTGTGTGCTCGTCTCGTGCACCCTGGAGTGGGCGGGGTTCTAACTAGGGCTTATTGGGGGGTAGGGCTTATATTGGGCGCACATGTAAAAATCAAGCTAGGGCTTATTTTTTGATAGGGCATATTTTCAAGGAATCATTGTTATACTTTTTGAACCTTGTTATTTCACTTGTTCACCCACTGAGTAAAACCTAAGGACCAATATATTTCATTCAGATTATGGCCAATCTTCTTTTACTATTTATTTGTGCCAATCTTACCCTTTACTTTATTCTATTTATTTACTTTAAGTCTTAATTTTTTAAAACCTTAAAATGGACATGGCACTTTTTCTTCAATAAGATATTTAATGTATGCTACAGAAGATGTTAGTTGCCTTTGTGTTAAGAATATACCTTGAAAACTCAGGAGATTAAATCCTTTGCAAATATCACATGTTTAATACAAACAAGAGGCCAATATTTGTTAATAATTACCTTTCATAATCCCTTAACTCTTTATATATGCAGTATAACTCATAATACATTTTACCTACACACACACACACACAGATTTGTAGAAATGTTATGACTAGTTTATTGAGGTGACATGATATTGGTAACTTGTTTTGAAAAGGTTAGACAGTCTAATTTTAAGGCTGACACAAATCTAAACACACTATGTCTAGCCATCAAAGGCCAATGTTCCTCATATTAAGTTCATTGTGTTAGATAAATAAATTAAATCTACATCAAGACCAAACTAGATATATAACATGCCTGGACCTGCTGCAAGCTAATCTTGAAGTCTAAGAAAAAAATTATATAGAGAACTGGGCAAAATTAAAAATAGGCAAAAGTCTGCATATAGTGCATGTTTAAGAAAATGATATACAAAGGTACATTATGGTAAGGAAAACTAAAAATTATTTATTTGGAATAGGCACACCAAAGTAAATAAGTTTGGGTAATGTGATCAGAATCCATTCTAATTTATTGTAAATTAATATATTAAAAAGTTTGATTTTAAGATTATTCCCATCCTAAAAGAAAGATTCCAGAAAAATGGTTATAAGTTCATGCAAAAACTTGTGGTGCTGCTCAGCTCTCTTTCCTTGTCAACTATGGTTGTCAAATATTACTGGAACCAATATCAGATATTAGTTGTCCCAACTAATGTCTTCATATGACACAATATGTACCTATAAATACAATATGTACTCTTCTATCCAAGGGCCTCATTCCAAAATCAACAAGGTCATGGAAATAAATATTTAATAAAACATTCCATGTGCAAAATTAATTGGTCTATATCTACATACAAACATTATCTCACGAGTAAACTATTCCCTGTGCATACACAAGGAAAGTGTAGTCAAGACAAACAAGCCGACCAATTGAAAATTTGACCTCACCAAGCACCAAACTGTGCATGCTAACTTTGACATTAATTCTGTTAAATTCATTTACACTTATTCTCTGGCTAAGTACATACAGGCTGCTATGCTCTGGTTAGTTCTATTTACAGAAAGTCCTCCTCTTTTGCAGTTTCAAGTTATGAACTTTCACCGCTATGAACAAAGCTGTCTGCAACTCCAACCTAGAAGATCCTAGAACAGCACACCCCAAATCTTTTGACACCAGGGACTGTTTCCTTGAAGAGAAGATTTTCCGTGGACCGGAGGGGGTGTGTGTGGTTTCACGTGCTACCTGCATCCCGCAGATGGTGCTTCGTTTGTTTGCACGTTCTGGTTGCTGGCATGCCACAGACCACTGCCGGTATACAGAGTGGGAGTTGGGAACCGCAATCCTAGAAGATGGAAAAAAAATAGTTTACGCTGCACTGCATACATACATTGATTGTTTTAAAATTGACTTTATGAACAGCCTGTTGGAATGCAACCTGTTTTTAAGTAGAAAATTGTATTCTATATAATCTGCAATGAAAATTAGTGAAGGGATCCTAAGGCTACTTAATTGTTTTGAACTTTCAATTTAAAACAGAAATGAGTTAACTGGTAAGAGCTAGTGCTAAGTGATAAGCTACAAGAACAAAAAAAGGCTTGCATGCTCACCTTCTAAATTCCAATCAGTTCTGTGGCTCTTACTCCGTGCATAGGTAAGCATGCCTGGCAGGCATAGGTCTTGTAGTTCTATTTTATCAGCACACTATTATCATTCTCATTAAGTACAAAGTGGAGGTTTTCTTCTTCCTCATTTGTGTGGACAGTGGAGGTTCTCCATTACAGACACTCATTTTGTATAAGTGATTGTCAGCAAGAGAAGGATAGGCATGCATGCTGCTTGAAGGAATGGCAGTGAATTTGCCTTTTTCCCCTGCATTTGTTTCAATGATTTGACTTTATCAATTCATCTGTTTATTTACATTTTAGGTTTCTAAGGCTGCCCAACTTTACACCTCCAGGCAGTGCGCAAATTAAATACAAATTTATTAATTCCCCCCAAAGTAACATATTATAATAGGGGAATTAAGAACCACCACCATCAAATACAACATAGTTTAATCCAGGTGGATTTATATCCCAAACAATTCCAGAGTTTGGGGCAAAAAAACCCAAGTCTTCAAGGTCCCATTAAAAGGATCGCAGGGTTGGCCTATTCAAATCTCTATTTGAATGGGATGCTATTCCAGAAGATTAACGCTTATTGTTTTAGAATATATGAGGAGAATATATGTCAGGAAATTGTATTTAAATTAAAATCTTAAATACCTGATCTAGCTGTTAGAAAAAGAATAGGGACCATACATTCCCTTTGCCATTACCAGAGGAGGAATGTGGGAACTAAAAGAAGTTCTGAAAGTTATAGTTCTGTAGCCTTAACAATATTAGTCTAACCAGTTAGAGGCATGCTAGATAGTTGGAAGGAATAAAATAAAAGACTCCCTACACTAACGTTAACTACAGCTATCTTCCCCAGTAACAGATTGAAAAATCTACCGAGTAAAGTTTCCACAATTTCTTACAATCAACCTTCAGAAGATAAGTAAATCTTAAAATATGTTTGTGTCCATAGAAAAGACTACAAAATAAAAGAATCATGTTGTCTTAAAAGCTGGCAAGGATGAAATTTGAAGAAATCTTTATGAAGAACGAGCAAACTAAAGCCACTTCACGATTGAATTCACAAAGGGTTGAGTCTTACTAAAAGTGTCATATATAAGGACAAAATACCTGCAAATTGGCCACCTGTATTTCCTAAAGGCCAGACTTCCAACAGTTATTACCAAACTGAAATCTTTAGGAACATATTTCAGGTATAAAGGATTGGGATTATTTCCCATAATTAGAAGTAATGTATGACTCATGTAGGGCTAAATTACAATTATGACACACTATTATACAATTTATAGAACTATCACATGTTTTATTTTGGATTGTCCCAAGGCAGGGGTGTCAAACTGGCGGCCTGTGGGTCAGATGTGTCACGTGCAGGCCACGCCAACCCCAGCTCCACAAATGAGAAAAAATTCGCAAAACTTCACGTGACGGCAGTGTGATGTCACGAGTTTGACACCCGTGTCCTAAGGGATGAGCAGGGCAACAAAATAATGGAATAAATACACCTCACATAGCGATTTCATATGCGAAAACAGATTGGCTAAATCCACAGAGAAATATTCTATGGATATATTATGCTAAGTATGTATTTTGTTCAAAATCTGGAAAGAGAAGTTGGAGAAGCAATACCAATTTTTATCATCAATCATATTTGTATACGGTGGAAAAGCCAGTGCTTCTATGTATTTGTGTCTTTATATTGGTTATTTCTGAAACAAGCATTATGGGAGACACGGAGAAGAAAAATAGTGTGAAAAAAAATTAACTAAAATATTTATATTTTGCCTTTTAACTTAAGCAGGGCTCTAAACTGGCTTACTGAACATGAATTGAAATAATATAAGCTAGAACAAAACAAAGCACAGAATTAATGAAGTTGACAAAGGGACACGGAGTGAAGCTCCTGCAATTGCTGTTGATGAAGAGGCTCATAGAAAAAAAATTAGCTGCCTTACATTTAATCATATATTAACCATTTTCAGTTTTTGAGGCCACATTTTTTCCTTCTTTGCTGTATATTTGTACCCTTGCATGAATAAATGGATTTATATTTGAATCCTTTCATGAATAAACGCTATGAATGAGATCTAATGAATAAGAACTGAAACCTTCAAGCTCATCAGTAATAAGCTCATTAATATCATTGTACATTCTTTTCCCCCACTAAATTGTATGAATTGCCTTTCTTCAGATTTTACTTTTTAAAATAGTTCAGTGTTTTTCACTTCAATTTGAGAAAACAAATGAAACAACCAGTCTATTTAATTATGCAGCTGAAATTGGCTTTTTTGAATTAAATAAGTGGAAAAGATACTCAAGATAATATATTCCACTCAACTTCCAGAGAAAAACCTTTCATATCATTAAAACCCTTTAATGCCTTTGAATATTTCAAATAATTATATGATGATTAAAATAGTTTCCTGTCTCTTTCATTGTTATGTAAAAGAAAACTTTCTGTTTCAGACAATTATCAGGAAGCTGAAAGAAGCAAAATTACTTCAGGGTTTTCAGATTTTATTAACGACAGTACTAGTAACAGTAGGAGTGAAATACAATTTAAAATGAAAGCATCTTGAACGATATTAAGTTATATGGCATCCTTTTTATTAAACATTCTTAATCAATATAGTCAAAATCTTCTGGTATACCAAATGTTTTGTCAATTTTGCTGTCTTCAAATCCAAACTTCCGTTTAGCCCAAGCTTTTACAGCAAATATATTATCTGTAGATAAAGTAGATGAAAAACAATGGATATTAGGGCTTCAAGTGTTTATAATGATAATCATGATAAAAGATCCTTAATGTTTAAAGATAACTAACAGATCTTCAAATTGTCATCCTGAGGCCCTTCCTTAGACATACATCACCTATTTGGTTGCAACATCTAACAGTGATTATTTTGTGATTTCCAATTCTCATGTAGAGATGAGGATAAGAACTACACTGAAATCCCTTTCCTGTATGAGAGACCTCAGCAGTAATAATTATCCAAAAGGCAACTGATTGCGCCATAGGCACAGGGCGAACAGTTCAGCACAAAATCTACTGAGCTTAGAACTTGACGTACACACTTTACCTGAGGAGTTATATGTGTTTGAAAAGTCGTATGGGGGTTTCTATACTGGCAAACACCAGTTTTTCCTCTGTTTATTTAGACTCTATCTAGATTTTAACCAAACTTGTTTACTTCGGCATTCATTTGATTCAGGAATTTTAAAAAAGAAACCAATCCTTTCCCCTCTCTACACTGAAACAGAAGACTGAAAGACCAATCTATTTGCCTACAACCCAATAGAATAAAATTATGATAGTCTGGGTTTTATAATGCTAACCTTGATTTGATTTTTCCTGTTGATTTAAGTGTCACAATATTTCCTGCATGGTAAAATTATAACTGATTGTAACTTTGAAAGAATTGTACTTAATGAAGCATGACTGCTTCAAAAAACTTGTCAATAGAGCAGTCAGGGGGAAAGGTTTTTGAGAAAAAGAGTACAATAAAGGTAGGTGTTCATATGTCATGAAGTGAATAAGTAAGTATATGATGATATATATAACATATTTAGCACACATTTTTCTCCAATTTAGTATAAGTTAATTTTATAACAGGACCTGCCCACATGGCAATTGATACTAAATTGTTACAAAGAGATGAAAAATCACAAGGAAAGAAATCAAGTATTCAGTTTGCTTGCAAACACTTAATATGTTATTATTAATAACATATTATGTTAATAATAATAATATTATTATATTATTATATAAAACATATAATAATATGTTATTCTTTTATCCTTCAGTTACTAGCAAACAATTGAAATAGCAAATTCAAAAGAATAAATTCACTACAGGGAAAATATTTTTAAAATTAAAAAGAATTTTTTTAAAAATAAAGTCTTGAAATATAAAATGCAATCCTAAATGAAAGTAGTCCTCGACTTAGAACAATTCATTTAGTGACTATTCAAAGTTTCAATGGCACTGTAAAAACACAACAGTTGAAGCATCCCCATGGTTACATGATCAAAATTCAGATGCTTAGCAACTGATACATATTTATGATGGTTGCAGTGTTCCCAGGGTCATATGATCACCTTCTAACAAGCAAAATCAATGGGGAAGCAAGATTTACTTAACAACTGTGTTACTAACTTAAGAACTGCAATGATTTACTGAACGACTGTGGCAAGAAAGGTTGTAAAATGGGGCAAAACTCCCTTAGCAACAAAAATTTGGGGTTCTTTTGTGGTCGTAAGTCGAATACCTGGTAGATGACAGTTCTATAATCAAGAAGGGGCTTTCCCAGCTTGCCACTTCTAAACTTTTGCGGAAGAGTGTCTAAAAACTATTTCAATGAACTAGAAATTTCATAGAGAAGACAATTCTTATTTAATTATTTGCTGTTTTATTGATTCATTTTAGGTAAAGGTAAAGGTAAAGGTTCCCCTCGCACATATGTGCTAGTCATTCCCGACTCTAGGGAGCGATGCTCATCTCCATTTCCAAGCCGAAGAGCTAGTGCTGTCCGAAGACGTCTCCGTGGTCATGTGGCCGGCATGACTAAATGCTGAAGGCACATGGAACGCTGTTACCTTTCCAGCAAAGGTGGTCCCTATTTTTCTACCTGCATTTTTTACATGCTTTCGAACTGCTAGGTTGGCAGAAGCTGGGACAAGTAATGGGAGCTCACCCCGTTATGCGGCACTAGGGATTCGAACCACTGAACTGCTGACCTTTCAATCAACAAGCTCAGCATCTTAGCCACTGAGCCACCACATTCCTGTTCATTTTAGGTAAGATATGGAAATTTACTTCTCGGTGATAAAATTGATGGAGCTGAAACATGACTACGTACCAATTATTTTGGACTTGATTACACATGACTGTTCCTGGAAAACTGTCCCAATGTGGAATATGTTGTAATGTGATGAAATTGTAATTACAATGTAAAATCATATACCATTCATATCATCATTCATAGTAATCTGACAATGAGCAAGCCAATTTATTGTGTCAGCTGCTTTGTATGATTACCATGAATCATATACTACTGTGAACTCTAATCCAAAATACCAAGTAACTTCAAATTAATTTACACATTTTATTGCTTTTCATTTAAATACTTGGTTAGTTTGCACCAACCATCATTATTTGCAGATTACTTGAAGATTGTCACAAACACACACGTGTGTATAAAATGCATAGCATTTTATCACACAGTATCACACATCACACACACACTATCACTTCTGTTATTGTTTGAGTGCTAAGCATTTCATACACACACACACAAACACACACGTTTGGGTGCTAAATGCTTAGCACCCAAACAGTAACAGAAATGATACCTAGCAAAAACTGAGTCTATAAGAACAAACAAAAACATTAAAACGTATGAATCAGAAATCACAAAAATTACATTACAAGCAATGGCAAACTTAACTAGTAATAGTTATTTTATGAGTTTTGAGCAATCTGTTGCCCAGAAAATAAATCAGTTTTATGTAAAAAAATAATAATTAAAATCTTAAATTCAAACTTGTATCTTTCCATGTATTTATTTTCATTCACAGAAGAATGAATGCTGCAAAATAATATAATGCAGACATACCAGTCCATCTGTTGGTTGCTTCCTTAGCTATTTTATTTGCTTGACCTAAAAAGAAGAGAACAACGAATAAACAAATAAAATTCAATGGAAGCAATTCATTAGATCAATAACTGAACAGGCTCAAAAGAATAAAACTATATTTTCAAACTTATTATGCATTTTAAATAACTTGAAAATGTTTTACTGTTCCTTTGAAGTTAATATTTAACCAATCCTCAAAGATTAGTAAAGTTACATCAAAATGAAATTATATGCTGAAGTAATGCCTTCTATCAGTTACTACTGAAATTTTTTGAAATATATCTGGCTATAATACAGGAAAATAAGAATCCTTTAGTGCTTCACTGAATTAGAAAAGGCTATGCTCTAAGAAGAAACAATCTATTGTACAAAAATTTAAAAATTAGGATAGCTGAATTCTGTGATGCATAATGAAGAATGTTATTTGAAACAATGCTTTTACTTGTACTTTTCAACAAAGATGAATACATTTATTAAAAAAATAACATGGATGAATTATAGAATCTTGACCCTTTAGTAAAAATCCCTTGTTCATTTGTTATAAATTATTTGGGCAACTTCTTAATGTGCCAGTTCATATATTTTTGTTATTCACTTTCTTCTGCTAGGGGACAATTTATAAAATGGAAGTTGGCAGCTAGTATAGTTCATAAGGGTATGCTGAAAAAGCTTCTATACCCAAAGTTCTACACCAATGAGTTTGTTTGCTTATAGAAACAGAAAACACTGGTTAAGGTGAACACCCCCCCTAAAATATATACATCGATTTTATGAGATTATTTAATCACATACCAAAATAATACCAAAACATTTCTACAGTAGAAGAGCCTATGATCACTTAACAGTAAGAACAGTTAATTAATGGAACAACTTGTTATGTTATGTTATGTTAATTTTATTTATATACCGCCTTTTTCCCAAAGGACTCAGGGCGGTGTACAGCCAATTTAAAAACATAAATATACAGACATCATCATTAAAATAATTAAAATCAATTAAACAGTTTTGGCCAATTTAAAACCCCAATTTAAAACTCCAATTTAAAAACCACTTAAATAGACAGCCCCGCCTGTCGGAACAGTAGGGTCTTACGGGCACAGCGAAAAACCCGGAGGTTAGAGATTGTACATATTTCCGGGGGCAGTTCGTTCCAAAGGGCAGGAGCTCCCACTGAGAAGGCTCTCGTCTTGGGTGTCGCCAGCCGACATAATTTGGCCGACGGCACCCTGAGGAGTCCCTCTCTGTGGGAGCGAACTGGTCGGTGGGAGGCTATTGGTGGCAGAAGGTGGTCCCGTAAATATCCTGGTCCTATGCCATGGAGCTTGCCTCCAGAAGTTGTGAATATTCCAACACTGGAAGTTTTTAAGAAGAGAATGGACAACTATTTGTCTGAAATGGTATAGGGCAGTGATGGTTAACTTTTTTCGGACCGAGTGCCCAAAGTGCGCATGCAAATGCACATATGTGCACCTGAACCCCAAAATGCAATGCACGCACGGGCCCGATTACACCCCGCCTCCTGTGCATGCACATACAGGACTCCCTGCACGCGCACTTCCCGTGCATATGCCCGCGCCCCCTCGCATGCGCCTCCCCGCATGCGTGGCAAAGACCCGAAGGCTGGCAGGAGGTGCATGCGCATGCACGGTGGAGCTGAACTAGGATGAGGGCTTGCATGCCCACAGAGAGGCACTGCGTGCCACAGGTTTGCCATTACGAGTATAGGGTTTCTTGCCTGAGCAGGGAGTTAGACTAGAACATCTCCAAGGTCCCTTACAACTGTTATTCTATTGTTCAGAAAATTGTAAGGAAAGGGATATTGGGACACATGGAAACTGCTCTTGTAGCAAATAAGGTTTTATAGCTCTCTTTTCATTTTCTGATTTCCAGACTTCCATAGTGAGATCCTGAAAATACTTATAGTTCTCACATCCACACATAGCCCTGGTTTGTCTAGCATTTTTAGTGGCAGTGGTCAGTGTATTTGTTTGTCTCTAGGAATGATAAGAAAAATTAATGCAACATAAAATGTTTGTTATAAATTTACACTACAGATAGTCCCCAACTTACGTCCACAATTGAGCCCAGAATTTATGTTGCCAAGTGAGAAATTTGTTATGTGCGTTTTGTCCCATTTTATGACTTTTCTTGCCACATTTGTTAAATAAATCACTGCAGTTGTTAAATTAGTAACATTGTTGTTAAGGTTTCTCCATTGACTTTGCTTGTCAAAAGGTCGCAAGAGGGGATCACATGACCCCGGGACACTGCAACAGTCATAAATGTGAATCAGCTGTCAATGATGTAATGTAAATCTGAATGTAAATCTTGTGACTGAGAGGATGCTGCAATGGTCATAAGTGTGAAAATCATCATAAGTCACTTTTTTCAGTGCCATTGTAACTTCAAACGGTCATTACAATGGTGAACTGTTGTAAGTCGAGGACTACCTGTATTAGCAAGACTTAATTTGTAAAATAAGCTATGTTAAATATGTGGCAGGACAAGTGCCCAACTAAAAGTCCTAGCCTATAACATAAGAACTATTTTATTTAAAACTTGCAGATGAGATCATATAGCTGCTTTAAAAAAAGTGCTAGTATTTAGAAAAGCTCCCATACTTTTGGCTTTGCCATGACATATAAAACAAAAACATTTTTAAAAAGAAACTTAGTATGCTAAACTGTTGAGTAAATAAAAATTAACTTCAGATTAAAAATCATAATAATAAATTTTTAAAAAATAAAAGAAAGGAAAAAGAAGGTAAAAGAAAAAAAGATCTTGTAAATTACACTACAAAGACAGATTCTCATCTAAAATGATACATATTCCTTGAAATGATAAAATGAATCATGAATATTACAGTATGATTTCACTGTAGTTAGCATAGGATCAAAAATAAATCTGTTACTTTTAATAATCATATTTTAATCAAAATATCAAACAAACTAATGATAAAATTTTACAACTTTATAAATCTGTTTTATTGGGAATAAACAGAAATACTTAAAATTTGAAACACCATTTGTAATAGAATGTTCTTTCTTGCTTTTGCATAATTTCTGAAATTTGGATCTTATTTTGTACAAAGCCATTCTTATTCACTGAAATCAAAGAAAAAGAAAAAAAGAAGTAAAAAAACTGCTTCAAAATGCCCGCAGCTTGCAAAAAACTGGCAGGCAATAAACTGTTTTCTCATTCTTTCCTCCCATGGAGACAGAGTGTGATAACAACCACAGCCCATTTTCTCTTTCCTCTCTAGCCTAATGTTTGAGGCCCTTGCGCATTCTTTCAACTTCTTCCTTCTTCATAGTCCTTTTTCTTGCCCTCTATTGCAATTCTATCTGTAAGAAGATGGTCTTATAGTTCATGAGGGTTTGCAACCCACATGCTAGGAAATCTTATACAAACAGAATTTTAAAAAACTTTTATTGTATTTCTTTAAGATATTTCCCCTTGCTCCTCTGCCAAATATTGATAGACAATAAATGAAATTGCTAAAAGTCAGCTATAGATTTCCCCTGCAAGTATTGCATAATATTTTTAGCCAGACCCCAGGCCCCAAAATGCACAAATCTAAGACAAACATAGGCATCCTGAATAAATAGTGATACATCCAAATTAATGTTAACAATCTTACCAATGTTGGCCCAAAATAGGACTACAGAGTAAGACTAAACCAACGTTCCATCTCGTAAGTTAATTTTAACTAGCCAGATAAAACATATCTGAAGCTTCCAATGTACATGAAACAAAATGCTGCTTTAAAGTACTACTCCATACTACAAAGACAGAACACTCAACAAAGTGACGGAACCCGGAAAAGCAGCTGGCCGCCGTGTGCATGCACACCGACCAGCTACTCTCTTCCGGGTTCCGGTGCTCTGGCACATGCGCACGCATACTCCAGTTTTGGCACTTGGTGCCGAAAAGGTTAGCCATCACTGCCCTATGCCAACATTCTGATCCATCTACTGAGGGAGATCAGTGACCAGCAGGTTTCCAGATGCCCTGATGCAGGACCATTCATTCTCTAGCCACGAGGCTCTGAGGCTCTATGATCTCTTGTGCTTTTCTGCCAGAGAGAACGCACCCAAGCAACCAAAGGGTGTTTTTAGGGTTTTTTTTTTCTTTGCCTGGAAAAGCTCTGTGCTTGCTACAGAATAGAAAATAATAGTGAGAGCAGAAAAACTAGAAGCCTCTGTAGAATAGAAAAAACTCCTAAGGAGACAGGCACCCTTTATCCTCCCTCCCTGCTTCTGTTCCCTGCACTTGCTCTTATCTCTGAATTTACAGGCAGCAGTCACCTACAAGTGCAGTCCTGATTCCATCTGAGGGTAGCAGCTTTGCTGGCTTTATTTTGCTGGCACATCAAGAAGTATATTGTGGGGGGAAGCAGATTCAGAAGGAGCAGGCTTTTCCCTACCTCAAGGACAAAGGTAGTCCTCAAGTTACAAAGGCAATTGGGACTGGAATTTCCTTTTTTTTTTCAATAAAGTTTATTTTCATTTTTAAAAATACAATACTTTACATATATACATACAAGGTTATTGCAACTAATGTACACAAATCTGCGCCTATACCACTAATACAATCCATTTCATTTCCCTCTTTTCTTTCACCCAATTATACCATAAATTCCAACATTTGTAATAATCAGAATCTAAGTAATTTCGTTAACCGGTCTGCCTCTGCGTATTCTGTAATTTTCCAAATCAATTTATTTTCTGTGGTTATTACTTCGTTTTTCCATTCTTGCGCATATAGTATCCTAGCTGCAGTAGTGATGTGGAGGATCAAATACCATTTTTCCTTAGTTATTTTGTCTGGTTTCATTCCTAATAAAAAAATCTCTGGTTTCAGCTCTATATTATATCCTGTAGTTTCCACCATCCAGTTCCGAACCAATATTTGCCTGCTTTGGGGCATGTCCACCATTGGTGGTAGTACGTCCCACAACCCTTCCCACACTTCCAGCATGCCGGAGAAACTCCCGGGAACATTCTTGCAATTCTTGCCGGGAG